CTTTCACATTATCAGATGCTAAATACAGAGCAGTATCATCCGCATACATCCTAATTTTTACATTTGGTACAATTTTAGAAAGATCATTAATATACAGTAAAAATAACAAAGGCCCTAGGATTGACCCCTGGGGTACTCCACAAACACTACTATCTTTACTGGATGAGGCATTATTAACATTAGTAATTTGGATACGGTTTCTTAAGTAGCTTTTAAACCAACTTATGACATTTTTGTCAAGACAAAAATGTTCTAGCTTTTTAATTAAAATTTCGTGATCGACCGTCTCAAAAGCTTTTATAAGATCAAACATTATGAGTTCAATATATTTTCCTGAATCAATCGCCTCTATCCAATCCTCTGTATAATATTAATTAATGCTGAAGCAGTAGAAAAGTTTGGCCTAAATCTAGACTGGTTTTCATAAATCAACTTTTCTTTTTCTAAATAAGGGTATAACTGATCAAATACACTTCTTTCTAACAGCTTGGATATAGCAGGCAAAATAGATATAGGTCTGTAGTTACATGGGTCAGTGTGATCATAATATTAATAAGTACAATACACTGTAACGGAGGTATACAGTACAATGAAATAAATTGTTTTCCAAGAGCATAAATTCCAAGCTGTTGTGTTGTGTATTCACGCATGCTACATTTAAGGTCTCCATGTACTGTAAATAACACACTTTGATATCACGCATGTTGCACTTAAGCACACCTTGAAATAACACCATTTGAAATCACGCATGTTACACTTAAAAGAGTAACTAGGAAAATGATTTTCTGGATGGGATTTTTGATATGCCATTAATAATAGAATCAACCTTAAGATCGTTTTCTGGCAATAGTTTATGAAGTTATAGGCCATTATATACGATTTAATCGTGACGTCACTGGCGAAAAAAGTGACAAAGATCGTGTAAATAAAACTGCGTAGGTTATCCGCCGCGTACGATCTTTGCGTGCATGCTGTAACCATGGCTGTAACTCTTGTTGACAACCGCTGATGCAGTTATATAGGCCTATGACTTGATATGCATCAGCAAGTTAAAACCATGGTTACAGCATGCACGCAAAGATCGTACGTGGCGGATACCCTACGCAGCACTATTTACACGATCTTTTGTTACTTCTTTTCGCCTGTTACGTCACGGTAAAATAACGTATATAATAAAACGATTTTAAGGTTGATTTTATTATTAATGGCATATCAAAAATCTCCTTTAGAACAAAAATCATTTTGCTAGTTCTCTTTTAAGGACTCCATGTAAATAACACCCTTTGAAATGTATTCAGCCAATTGTATGCAAGTTATAATCAAACTTAATTATAACTTTTCATGGAAAATTATCACTTGGAACATATCAACAGATAAATATTGTAAAAAGTCATACACTTAGTTTCAAATACCAGTACTTATTGCACAGTATTTTCCACATTGTATAGATACTGTACAGTACATTCATTATTCGTACTATATTGAAATATAGATACGGTTGGAAACATTTTTTCAGAGGGTCCTGTGTTACAATCTCATGCCACCATATAAAATCTTAATGTCCAATGCATGGGCTACTCAATTTATTAAGTGTAAACAATGCCAAATATAAGAGTTCAACATAGTAAATAAGGTACTGTACAATACTCACACAGCTGTTTGGCTACAGTATGTCGATGTGTGACTAACATCCTTTTTTCTTAATTAAAATAGCAACAAATAATGACAAATACAGTAATGAAGAAAGGAAGGCTGTTGAAGAATTGTTTTAAAAATTATCATTGCATACTTGTTCAAATATTTAAAAAAATAATCTATAAATATATATTGAGATGAAAAGATAGGGGAGAGCTAACAACATCTATGGCTCCTTGGATGAAATGCTTGCCTTCCAATTCCAGTCATTACAGTAGTACTATGCTAAAAGAACAATCTTTATTTTCCACAAGCAAAGACAACTCTACATTCTCAATACTGTAATTTACCAAATGATGAGCCTTGGTAGCCAGATCCGTAAAGAAAAAGAAAGTAAACTTGAAATTGAAATTGAAATGTTGGTTTTTGTCCGATCTATCATACTGTAGGCATTTAGTTATTTGGATACCTCATTTGTGGAGACACAAATTTACTGGGGATAATTTTTAAAAGATTGTGCCAATTTCAAAATGTGAATTTAAAAAAAAAAAGTGTATTGTGTGTTAAGGCAAGTTGTTAGAGAGATGAGTTTTAAGACTCTTTAAGAGCAGATTTAAATGATTTAATTAATACAGGTGCAGTAGATGACCTAATGGAGGTAGTCATTCCAAAGATAAGAGGCAGGAGATGTATGTTTATTTAATACCTTTTACAGTATTCCTCCAACATTCCTATCCTTAAGGTGTGAGTGTGCCCTCACTAAAGTAATTATCCCAAAAATGCTAGGCATACCTGTATTTAGAGCCGTAGATAGAGAGAGTTGGCCAACTCTGTTTCACGGGATTCGATATATGCGCACGTGATTGGGTGGATCGCAATCACATGACTTACACCGGCCATGTTGTCACCAAAACAAAACATTAAAGCTATACGCGTGCATGCGCCTGGGCTGTTTGGTAACGACATGGCGTCCATGCGCCAAGTTGGCCAAACTCTCTCTATCTACGGCTCTGCCTGTACTGTACTTACTAACTGTTAAAATATCCACTGACCATTTTGTACAGAGATAAGCAACCATCCAAAATAAGGTCACCTGTAAACCTGATAATTCTATCAGCAATCACAATTATAGATTCACTTTTTACAGTTGTATCAGAACAATACTCCATTGATCTGACTACTTTCATTTTGTTCTTTTCATAACTAATTTTTATACATAAATGTTGAGGGTAAATGTAGTAAGTATAGTAGTTGCCTACAGTAGTCTAACTTTGTGTATTTGTGTGTCCAGGGATATGTAGTTATGATGGGCGGAGGTGGGTGGGGGCCACCCAGCCTTGAAGTTCTCCACCCAGTCTAAAGATAATTTCATGGCCCTCCACCCACCTTTTTTTATCCCCTTGCTTTTCCTTAAAATCGACTCTGATTAGTTGTTCACCAATGTTATCACCCACCCTTAGTTTTCTGTACTGTAGCTACAACCCTGTGTGTCATAGCATACAGTAGTCCTATTCCGTTTCTACTGCATTTTTTTTATTACTACTAAATTAGCTTTAGAATTGAAAGGAAAGACATTGGACATGTCTGACAAAGTATTTATGAGACAAAAATGGAAGCAAAAGAAGATGGGTGGTTGATCATAATTTTCATTTCCTAATAATTTTTTCTTATTTATTTTTAGTTATTTCAAGGCACAAACAATAAAAACATAGAGTAACATGAAAATATGAAACACTTGAAACATGAAATATAATTTACAGTAGCATCAAAACAGGGCCTGAGGATTGCTTTAAAAGAGAACTTAATCACAGCCTTAAAAAAAATGCTACAAAAGGACAATTACAATATCAATCAGTTACAAAAAATACAAATTGAGAATTTCAATTAAAATATATACAATTATAATATTAATTTATCAATATATTTTTACAAGGAAAAATTGGAAAAAATTTAAAAGGATCAAAAGAAAAGCCACAAAAAATGTTTACATTTATAGTAGTTTCTCAAAAAAATATTAATTCATATCAAAGGCATAGATTGAAATTACGGTAGATGTTGTTGTACTATACAGTATGTAGGATAATCAATGGTTTTTTCTCTGACATCAATTTAGGTAAATCATTAAAACTATATGGGAAATGGTGAAAGAAACCCCAGTGAATTTAAGACAATTGGAACGTGCAGAACAGAAATTTAAATCTATAATCAACAAAATGTTGGGAAGGAGCTCAGTTTCAATATTAAATCTCTATGGAGACAAGAAATGAAGGGAAGATGAAAACAGACAATGAATGCCAAATCTGAACAGACAATGAATGGAAATCCCTTATAGTTATACAAATGTTGACATAAAAGCAAATTGGTATTTTTTTTAGCTGTTCTGAAAATGTTTTTAAACATACTGTATGGCCTGAGTCGTGGCTGATATCGAGAGAATTGGTGTGACAGGGACTTAAGTCCCCACCCCAGATGGTCAGCTCATAGCCCAGATGGTATACATACCAGTTCTCCAGTACTTACCAATGCAAATTAGCTTTTTTTTTTATAATGTACATATCTATTTCAACTATATTCAAAATTGCATAAATTCCTTCTACTGTATGTTAAGTTATATCCTGAAAGCCACTGAGGTTAGATCTACAGATATACAGTAGTATAATGATGTCAAATGGCAACAAAAAATAATTTGGGACAGCCTGCACATCTTTAAATGTTGGTGTTTATTTGTTATTCAAATTAGATGTTAATATCCCAACCAGTGACATTCCCTGGCAGCGGGTAAAAGAAACCTCTAAGTGGACTACAGAGATTGCAAGGACACATATTCTACTATGTACAAATACGAAGAATGAAAACAGCAAGTGCAAAAAGTATGACACCTATGCAATGACTTCAAAAATACAGGTGACAGACATTTCGTAACCTAAACTTTTTGTAAACTTTGCTACTAGACATTCCACAAGACATTCATTGCAAGGAAGTCCCAGCAGAGTTATAAAAAATTCTGAGTTATGAAATGTTGATGCCCCAAAAATGCAGAGTCTAGTCAAGCGTATAGATAGGAGATGATGACGTAGATCAGGCCCGTAGCTTGACTTAATTTGTGGGAGGTTTGTTTCAGTGGGAAGTGGGCCATTTGGCTTGTATGATCTCCGATACTCTGGAGAACATTGTAAATATATCTACGAATATCAATTTTTCGTTTTTAAATGCGGAACCCCCCCACCCCACAACACGCTACAGGCCTGTAGACGGTGGTGTAAAAAGCACAGCAATTGACAAAGCACAAGTGGAGGAAAGGCAAAATGTTATTATTATGGAATGGAAGGATCACACGGAAAACAGTATTAAAATGATTTTCTAACCACATTTGAATGTCTTGAAAAACTCTCATTAAGCTCGTTAAATAAGCTGGAAGCATTGGAGAGTTCAAGAAGGCTAACTTGTTCTTTCCCATCTTCTTCATCACTTAATAGTGTATGGGTGTAGTCAGGAGTGTTAGGGTCAACAAACATTGTTTCCTCCTGGTGAATAAGCGATAGTTGTTTCGATGATCTCTTTTTCCTCCCAAAAGCCATTTTTCCAAGTTGTTTACCGCCAGAATTTGATTCTGTCATTTTAGTCGCTAGCTTACGATATAAACAAAAAATATAAATAAAATACAAAATGATTATATTTGGTGTTAAAGACGACTGGTTTTAAAAATGATAGCGTTCGAAGCGGCAGCCTTGGAAACAAACATCGGGCGCATAGACGTCCATTGTGAACAGCTTTCTCAATTGTTACAGCCTGCCTATTCATATGGAAATTACTTGTGGTGATATAGGTTCTGAAGTCTCATCTTCTGTCATTCGATAAATGATCAGCTTTTGTGACTGATATAAAGAAGTTAATTGACTTACCTTAACTATACAAATATTGATGAAATATCACAATAACTGATAAACAAAATTTTGTACGAACTTATAACCAGTTCCTAAATCTAGCCGACCAGTATGTTGCCGAGCCGACCTACAGGCTGTGCCAGAAGAGGGCGTAGGCTTAGTTACTTTTAGTATCAATTGTTGAGCCTGTGGGCCTGTGAACACTAATCCTTACTTTTTTGCGGAAGCATGCAAGCACAGAATTAAAAACTTCCGGGTTTAAAGATGTAACGCGTTTTTAAAGTTTGTAAACACATTTTGAACTTTGAACCTATGTCAAGGTTAAGATGCTTAAGTATAGAAGAGACTTTCTGGTGCGCTGGGATTTCTGATATTCCTTGTGTAGTAATAGATTGGTAATTGTTATATATTGAAGTTTCAAAATTTATTTGTATCTCACAAATGTTTAGGCTATATATATCTGGGGTCAGACTTTTAAGCAATTATCTTATTTTTAACTATTGATAAGCATCACCCGTCGTGTGGCTAGCCTAGCCTAACTAAGCTAAGGACCTAGCCTAGGCCTAGCTAGGTAGGTGTAGGCAGGCTAGATAGATAGATAGAATGATAGATAGGCCTAGCTAGGCCTATAGATACAGGCCTATCCTAGCTAGCTAGGCCGTAGCCTAGCCTAGCATATTTAAAAATTGACTGCACCAAAAACATTTTCTTGTGAAGGCTAGGCCTAGCCTACTGAACTGTAATTTTCCTGTTTGATTTTACAATTATATTTCAAGCAATGCCTGGATCATGATTTATGTCTGTTATTAACATAGAAATAGATAGCCTTTGGTAGGCCTAGATAGAGCTAGTGTAACTGTAGTATAGATAGGCTTCTTTTTATTAGATACTAGGCCTAAGTAGTGTTAATTTATCTGTTGGCCTACCTATTATATATTAATGTATTTATAAAATTTACAAGGTAGCAGAACCTTTCCAATTATTTTTTTGGTACAGTAGACATCTCCATAATTTTACCCAATAAATTCAGAGTGCAAACAAGCTGCTTTTTTCGGGTTTTTTTTTTTTTAACCAATTGCTTGATCTACAAATTATCAGTTTCTAAAAATGAGAGTTTCATGTACAGAATTGTGACACTGCAGTTGTTATCGTATCAACCATGCATTTACTTCACACAAAAACAAGAAACTTAAAATAAGTACATTGAAACTTTTAGGCCTTTAAAAATAGAGTCAATTTTCGTTTTTTAATTTTGTAATGACAGAACTAACTGGTAGGTATGTTATATTGTCACCAGATTTTCACAAGGTTATGACTACATTGATTTAAATACAGGGTTCGTACGCGTCCTTAAATTCCTTGAATTTCCTGGAAAAACAAATGAGCATTTTCCAGTACTGGAAAGTCCTGGAAATTTAATATTGTCCTTGAATGTCCTGGAAATTTGATCATTTACCAATAATTGCATTACTACAAGTTGCCTAGTAACAGTAAATTGAATGAGAAACGTTCTTACAAGTGGTTCCCACAATTATCTTGAGAGAATCAGGTCAAGTCTTTGTACTGCCCTATCCAGCGCAAGGCAGTTAATTATCAAAAGGCAGTTTATTATAAAAGTTGTAGGCCTACAATTAAGGTCTATATATTAATAATAATGTTAGGCTTAATAGTAATAAATAATACAGTATAGTTGCTGCGAAGCAGCCAATTCATATCTTGACAGCAGTTTGACCTCTGAAAGGTCATTGTTTGTCAAAAAACAAGGGCCTAAGACGACTGAAAAGCGGAGTTTCCTTCTTTCGTTCTGCCGGGTAAAATCAATTACTTTAGGCGACGTTTGTAGACTAACCTACACGTACCAACGTCCGCATGTTGCGCTAGCCTTATCCCAATCTTGGCCTAGACTAGCTAGGATGGGCCTAGCCTTGAAGGGACGAAGGTCCCAATGAAAAACAACGTCGCTCCTTGATAGCTAACATTGTCTATTTAACATCACAATAATTCATAGACCTTTAGTTGTTTTTTGAATTGTACTCCACAAATCTCAGCCGATACCTCGCACAAAATAACGTCTCATACTATTGTCGTGACGTCATGGCTGGCTGGCTCACACTTTTGAAAATTTGACCTTGAATGTCCTGGAATTGTCCTGGAAATTTGCTTGTTTAAAAACGTCCGTATAATTTGAATTGTTGCATTCAGAATTCCCAAACAAATCTTGATTGTTACGATTTGCCATGTTTCTCATACTTAAGTTTACTAGGTGACGTACTGCATGCAGGACTAAAAGTCCTCTATGTCCAGGTCCAAATTGGTTCATCCTGGAATTTTCGATACTTGCTTTACAGTATGGTCAAACTTAACTGGTTGATCCTTCCAGAATTTATCTAGTCTATTTTCAAACACATAGAAAGAGGGGGCTGTTACAACTTCATTTGAAAGTGCATTCCAATTGTCCAATGCAATTGTCAATGGAAAACCTTCTTTTTCAGGAAATCCACACTAGAATGTTGTTTTAGCAACTTCATGTATTAGTGTCCAAGATTTCTGTCTGATACATTTAATTGTAGAAAACTATTTATTAGGAATTCAGCAAAGTGACTTTAAGGCCTGGAAAAAAATATTTGTGCCTCCGACCATTAAAATTAACTCGACAAAATGCAAACTTTAAATAATTCAGGGCTGAAAAAAGCAAAATTATTATTTATATTTATAAGTTCTTAATAATTATATTCGATGTCATCTGAATTTTATCCATGTACCTTTCACATTTCTTGAACAACAAAAAGAATGATCCAGTAGATCCTAAAATTTTTGTGTATTATTCGTACTTCACTGCTGATCTCTTGCCTATTACTGAAGTGCGCCCTCAGGTGTGACCATTTTGTAATCTAAACATTGAAAGTGATGTATAGCGTGCAGTAATTATGTGAATATGGAATTGATGCATGGTGTCTGAATATAATTTATAATATGAAAGTTTTTCAGTATTTAGATTTTGGCCAGATGTTTTGGGTGTATCTTTCACCAAAGAAATTCAATCCACTTTTAATCAATTCAGTCATCATTTGTAGTTGGGTTTAAAAACATTGTTTTACTTGGAGATTTTAATAAAGTTGCTTGTTCTTCCTGATCAGTTATTAAATTTCATATTTTATTATATAATATAGTCTCAATGTTTATAAACTCAGTCTCATTAAATGAGGATTAGGGAACGGAGCTAGTGGCTAGTAGCATACAGTATTTAGGAGTCTGAAAATGGGGAGCAAAGGTAAAGTGGGGGTTCGATGACAGGTGAGGGGTGGGGGATGTAACACTGACAATAGCAGGGTTTGAATTCAGAACCTTGGCATTGGAAAGCAACCAGCTTAGCCATCAAGTTACAGTTCAATTGCACTTCACTTTACTTGATAAATAGAGCCTTGCAATAATATAAAGAGCAGTTCTGAGCTCTGACAGAACTGATGTGGCAGGATGGAGTGCGATTTACATGAAAAACTTATCCTTCTTAGGCAGGGTGAGCATAAATATCGATTGGAGGGCCAAACTGATTTTTAAAATTAACACTGTCGGCCACATGCAAGCTTATGGTGAAAATTTTATGATTATAATGTGCTTGCAAAAACCTTCATAAGTATTATGGTACACTCCTTTTTTTACTGCTTTGTGTTTAGTTTTAATTTTAGTTTTTAACTAATGTTTGGTGTCGGACAATAACAACAATGGGTTTTCTAGTCGAAGATGATAGGCTGGCCCACACAAAAATTTTGTTCAAAGGTTTGCACGGTGAAGAAATGTTATAATATATTAAATGCTTGCAATATACGGTATACCGCATCCTGTAGTTTGTTCTGAGAAGAACTTGTTTTTGTTGAGAATGTTTCGATTAAATTGCTTCAATCATCATCAGGGGAATAACATCTGTACTCGTAAAATTATTTCCATCAGGCTGCCTGTGATCTGTGGGCCACACTTTGCCCACCTGTGCTCTAGGCATTTGAATGTCATTAGAAATAATTACTTAAGTGAATATAATAAAAATGACAAATTGTACAGTGAATCAGAACCTTGATTTCATTGTCCTAACTTAAATAAAAACTCAAACATTGCTTACAGTAGATGTATTTTTGTACTTTTTAAAAAGTGAAACAGTACTGAATAACCAGTTTCTAACAAATCAGTTTCTGTACTGCAATCCATTTTGTAACTGATTTCCTGGGAGTTAATCTTACTTTCCTGTTCTTATAAATATCACTGTTCAAAAATATTTCTACAGGTGCCATATTTGGGCCAGAAAAGTTGACTCCAGTATATGTTTAGGTTTTAATTGAATAGACACAATCCAAAGTGAGAGTCAATTGCACTTTCATTGTTTATTGGACATACTATAGGGAATGAAATTTACAGAAGTATAGGAAAGTATGGCTTCTTTGAAGCGTTACAAGCTGTGCATATTATTGATGTTAAAAAGTGTTGGTAGAACACCAGAAAAATACTGTAAATTGGTTAAAAATCATACTGAATGGTATGCAAATGCGAAAGACATAGGTTCCAGGTTTTGAGATTTTTTAGAAGGACTTAACACCAACAGTATCTAGGTATTGTAAGAGTCTTCAAGCAAACCCATGTGATTAGGGTCCTCAACAATTCAAGACTCATACATTACTTTTACATGTAAAAGTCAATATTGAATTTTTATTATTACTTTTATATTTTTATTATTATTCGTCATTTTAAAAAACGTATTTATAATTATATTGATATCTTTATATACTTTATCCTATACAACTACAATGTAATATTTGTATTTGTTGAGGGCCCCTTTAATTCAGCATTGGTGTTAGGGCTATCCTATATTTTTATTTTTTGTTATAAAAATTCATAATTTCCTAATATATATCTCGGTATCTTTATTCAATATTCAAAATCAAAATTATACAAAAAAAAGTCCATAGCTGCCAAAGGCTGAATTGGGGTTCTATTTACAATTAAAAGTTTATAAAAACATAATTTAATATTACAATTCAATTAAACAAAATTACACTTCAAAACACTATCATAGCAAACACTATCATAGCAAACACTAATTTAGAATGCATTTAGCACAAATAATGTTTTGTATACTGGTTAAGTGATTACTAATGATAGTGAAAAGACCTTACTCATCAGTTCTCGTCTGGTAATATTAATGGAAGAGTCCCAATAATACAATCATGACACTGCTGTCTACAGGGAATGGAGGGTCACCCTCAAAATATATTATGACATCACACTTCTGATAGATAATAAATGGAGGGGTACTCTGAAGAAAAATGACATTACCATGACAATGCAGTTTTATTTTTGTTTAGAATGGAATAAGGATTAGAGTTTAGTAGCGCTACGATAAGAGTGAATGACGTCAGATCTGCATACAGTTTATGAATGGGAAGAAACCGTTTGCACTACACATACAAGGTTGATGTCACTATAACATGCAATTGCCACTTCTGCACTGGTTCGTATGTATTTCCTCTGATTTACCTAAAATTAGAGATTAGTCACATAAACACTTTCATTTTCAGGTACTGTACAAATAAAGTAGCTATAATATTAAAATACAGTAGTAGCAATTCCATTTTGATAGTGATAGAAGGTTGAGTCCCTAGACTGGAATTTAAGTATTAATTCTTTTTTTTTCCAAATTTGTTAGGTAAATTCGCTTGTGAGCACATTCACATTAGATTTTACTTGGTTTGGAAAGTGTAAAAAACATCTCAGCTCACCATTCTTTTGAGTCTAGAGTACATAGGTATAAATGGTACTGCAGTATATTACTAAATCAATGGTTTTGTATGGAGTAAGCTTTACTATTAAACTTGCCTTTGCTATTCAAGATCACTACATCCACCTGCCTTGCTAAATAAATCATTTAAATGATTCCTAGCCATATAAAAAAATTGTAAGAATAATGAATTCTACTATGAAGTATTTTTAAGTAAAGTATTTAACAATGTGGACAGGATATTCCATTTTCTATTTGAGTGGGTGGTTGTAGTATCTTACTGTAATCTATGTTGGTATCTGTATCTCTTCCAATAGCTATAATAATGCTGACTCAGAAGTTTATGCTTCTAATGTTTTAGTCTTGTTTTTTTGTACAACAGTAAATTAATTGTCACCATGACAATTTAGATTCAAGTCCCTCCTTGACCTATCTTTCACTATACTGTGGTTAACTTATACTTTTCATAAAATTACATGCATCCATATTATATGGATTTATGCTGATTTGAAGTACCTGTAAAGGTAAATAAGGTTGAAATTTTGAGAGCAGCCATTACTCATTAAATAAATAAAACTCTAGAAAGAAGGAACCTTCTGAATATACTACAGTACATCTGAAATATATGAAATGTAAAACAGATATAGAAAATGATTTGTCATACTATCCACTCTAAATTTAAGAAATACAGTAAATACAAGTGTATGTATTGCTAAAACAACCTATGTATTTAAAATGATATTGTGTGAAAATATATTATTTGTCATGGCCTATTTATAGTTTAAATATCTTTGCTTTTCAGTGTCACCCAGTGGTGGTGACAGAGGGGGGCTTAGGGTTAGGGAATTTGCATACCTGTAGGACAGACCTGGACCCCCCTGTTGTCCGAAGAATGACTAGGTCGTCGGATCGAAAATAAAAAATATAAAAAATTTTCCTATCCAAATAATGCTATTTTTATTGCCAATCCCTAATATTGTGGTCTAAAAGCACATTTCGGACCAAATTGAGCCATAAAAACTCTCCCCATGAACCCTAACAAGGATTTTTTATCCCGAGCTGTCGACCGAGACTTCATCCTTACCTTGGTTCGGACCCATCCGTCGGACACGTCGGACTCCTTGTCTGCAAATTTCTGGAGCCACCACTGGTGCCAACACCAAAAATGTTATACATTAGATTGTAAATGTGTCAGTAAAGAATAACTTCCTTATATTATACACAATTGTTGATATACCATAGTTTTATTTATTTATTTTTTATAATATTCATAAATATATTAATAAATAAATAAAAACACAATTGTTGATTTACCATAGTTTAGTTATTTATTATTTATAATATTAATAAATATATTAATAAATAAATAATAGTATACATAATTGTTTATGTACTATAGAGTTATTATATTAAATTTTGTTATTGTTATTATAATTATGGTATGTGAATTGTTATTTAATTTGTTAGTGTTGTTATTGTATTGTTTGTTTTATTAATATAATTATCATTTTTACCAATATTATTCTTTATATATTTTTATATTTAATCTTAATTATTTTTATGATAGCTAAAATCATTTGGATATAATATCTAATCTGTGCTTTTATTCTTAGGTACAGTAGCACAGGACTAGTCATACTTGGTTGATTGTGAAAGAAAATGATGACATAGCAGTTAGTGATGTCACAAGTGTTTAGTAGTAAGATCATTCATGAAATAAAAACATGATGATGGTGATGATGAAGCCAGACAAGGAACAGAACTTGATCGAGGAAGGAAGTGAGACGCAAGGAAGTACAGTCAAGGAATGCAACGAAGGCATCAGTTCTCCCCATCAATATTCTCACCAGCATTCTTATGCTAATAAGCCATGTGATGTTAGTTCATTAACCATTCAGGCTTTAAAGACGAGTCACAATCGTGATGCTTCTCCAGAGAAAAGGATACTGTGTCCAAACTCAATCGAAGAGGTGTCAAATCCAAACAAACTTTGTAGGTACTCTTATATGGATTGCACATCCAGATCTCGAAGTTCCACCTTAAAATCTGATAACAAACCAGCGGAAGAAAGAAACCTTGAAGAACTAGTACCTAAGGACAATACCACATCAGCTAGTTCTGATATCGCATTCAAAAGTGACTTTGGAGATTTAAGACTCAAATTAAATGAAGCTCCATGTATTGTTGTACATGAAGCTGATCAGGTTCCTTCTAAAGATGATGAACCAATATGTAACAGCAACTTCTCACCTAACACATCCCACGTTCAACAGAAAAACTCTGACACCAAAGAATCACCGGTTGTATGGGAAGCTTCTTCAAATTTGACAGCGGAGGGATCAAATAAGCCAGCTATAAACCATCTACCACGATGTCTTCTTGTACATATATTTTCTTATCTGCCAATGCAGGACATTTTAGCTAATGCAGCGTATGTCTGTAAACTTTGGTATGATGTCAGTAAGGATCCAGATCTTTGGCGTGACATCAAGTTGGAGGATACGCACGGGAATTACCGAATAACTGACAATGTTCTTGATCGTGTGACATCAATTAGCAACAATATTTCATCCATTTTACTGGCAGATTGTTATCTTATAACTGATTCTGGATTAGCATCAATTTTTTGCAAGTGTGCGAACTTGAGGGCACTGTATATTTTACGGTATGTTTAAATGCAACTTCTGTCTTTTAATGTATATAGGAAAAGGCTGACTAAATTCAACATAATTGAAAGTGTGAACATTATTGTCCCTTAATTTTATATTTATTTTTTTACTACAGTTAGGAATTATGATTGCTATGTACATATAAGTATTATTCATTTCATTAACCGTAGATTGCTATGATTATAACAGGTTTTTCTTTTGTGCTATAAAAGTGTAGGAAAATATGCACAAATTATTTAATTACTTAATTATTAAATGTAGCTATACTCTTCAAACTTGACACAACTATAAATGAATGAAATGAAATTAACAGAAAATGCTGTATACAGTACAGTATGTATTATTAAAATAAACATGTACAATGTGCAATACAATGCCCATCACATAGGTCTCAGCTATGACTACTAATTAGTAGCTAGGCTTACTGACATTCTAACACTCATCTAAGGCATATTCATCATATACTGAAGAGTGCTTCAGAAGCTCAAGCCTAGCTGATTAATTGGTTACAGTATATCCCCTTTGAACAGAGTATTAAAATTCTGCCATATTTACTTAAAACCCTATCAGTCTGATATTGGAATTAAAGGGCACAGAAAAAATGTTGGCCTATTTGTCAGGCTTCCGGTTCAATCAAATAAATGCACTCTTACTGATATACAATTATTAAGTTGTGTTGATGATTTATCAGGTGTTCCAGATTCACCGACAGGAGCTACACATCAATCGCAGATCAATGCCATCGTCTGAAGATACTGAATTTGTCAGGTTCTACTGGCATTACTGATGTTGGACTTCAGAAGGTAGGCCTGAACACTTGTAAATACTTCAACATACAGTATAGGCAAAACAATTGGAAATACACTACGGATAGCATACGGGCCTAAACCCCTTTAAAAACTTGAATTCATAGACCAAAAGTATTGTAGAAATTATATATATACAGTATACTGTAGTACATGTAAATACTCTTTCATGCAGCATTATATAATATACTGTATCCTAATATGAATTAGGACATTAATAGATGATAAAGCAGATCCATTGTAAGATTTTACTGATGGGAGGACAATACAGTATTCTCATCAAGACTTCAATAAAACAGACAAAACATTTTAAATTATATTACTGTATGTCATACCAAAATATCTCTGCACTTTGAAACAAAGAAAAAAATTGCCAAGTTATATAAGTGTTATACCAGGTGAAACTGTACATTCCAATTAGTAAATGTACTGTACACTCTCTTTACTACTTGATACAACATGGTATGAATTATAATGGGAGTCAAGAACTAGATTTCTCTAATCTTGGCCCTTTTCTTAACTACATTAATTCATCTCCACTCCTTTAAAACCTAAACAATACACTTGATAATAAAATGAACTAAACAAGGTTTTATTCTCAATATTTGGATAACTTAATTTTTAAGTTTAAAAAAAAGTGATCGCTCCAAAGTCAGTAATTTTGCACCTGAAAAAGTAATTCAAAATTGGCCTAAATTAGTGTGACATCTGGGTATGGATAAATTTAAGTCATTATTAAATCTTGTTCTACAGTATAATCGAGATATTTTGGGCAAGTTTTACATTAATTATATTTTATTTTATATATAGATAGCATGTAGCTGCCAACAACTGGAGCATGTTCAATTGAATCGGTGTAGCAAAATAACAGACAAATCAACCCAAGTGCTTGCAATCAAGTGCACCAACATTAAACTTATTATGTTCCAGAACAATGAAGGGGTAACTATATAAAATTAGTATATTGAGTGAAGGTGGTCATTTGGGTCCCTCAGTGCCCTATAGCCAAGTCTCTTATGAGGGTTGTGGTGTAAAGTTGTGTTTAATTGCAAAAAAATCATGAGGGCTTTGGAAAGAGGTGGTTAGCGCATCGGTTGTGGCTTGGACTCCCAACCTTGAGGTCAGGGGTTCGAAACTCTCGCTGTGCAAGTCGCTTGTGTCCTTGGGCAAGGCACTTTATCTACGGTTGTCTCTTCATCCAGGAGTACAAGTGGGTACCTGGTAGGTTCAAACACAGCCTGCACTGAATACAGCTGCAACATTATGGAATTCCCCCATGGGGCTTGAGTGTGTATTCCATATGTGCTTGACCAATGATCTGGGGGTAATAATGTAAGTGCATAGAGGTGCCTACAATATGCGCTATAAAAGTCGACAATTATTATTATTATTTGGGATTGGCCACTGACATCCACCAATGTTGATTGGCCAATTCAGCAATGTCGATTAATTCTTTTCAAATGTGATGTTTAATCTCTTGTTGTGTGCATGAGCACATGGATAAAAGAACTTGATACACTAATCAAAAATAGTAGGGAATTGTCTCTCAGTGAACTGACCATGCTAGGTCCCACACTGTGGCCTCTGTGGGTCCCCAGGGGCATATTCAGAATACTGTTTTTTTCAACAATGACCATATATATATATATATATATATATATATATATATATAGTACTGCAAGTACTTTCATGTCTGTCAACCTTTCTATAACCGAGGCATACATGGAATAGCATGATCAATTGCATCAATTTACTAAATTTGGCCAGTAAGTTTAATAATTGTTCGCAGTTATGTGATCCTTAATGTTATAATTTACTTGTTTTTTTTTGTTTGTTTTTGTTTCAGGTGACTGATGCATCAGTAGAAGCTCTTGCATCACACTGCAAGTCTCTGCAGTCTTTAACTATACACAAATGTTCCCTTTCAACAGATGGTTTCTTCCATTTAGCAAAAGTGAGTGTTCATCTGTAATCAATAGTTACATTAGGTGCCATTGCAACAGTTATTTCTGTACCTTGGCCATGTATTTTAGATATCCTAACAGTGCCTGGAATACACGCATGTCCAACAAACGCATGTGTTGTCCCACAAAGGCACATGTTTATGAACAAATTTTTGTTTCGTGAGACCTTAGCATCCAAGGGAAGTGGCTTAGTGGAAGTTCCATTAAGTAATCCTTAATGTAAACATGTTTATACATTACTTCGCAATCCCAATATCATTTAAGTCTAGCATAATAGTTTCTATAAGTAAACAAACTGAATATACACACTATATACACTATAGTAAAATTTTTAAATTCTAGCTTTGTAACCTGGAAAATTTGGGTTAGGGCGAAGGTGGTGAGTGAGGCAGTGCAACAGAAGAATCTACAGGGAGACAAGCCTCTGTTATTTTTAGAACATTGTACTACTTTCTACTAAATATGCAATTGAGCCATGTGTTTCACTAGGAAAGCAGCTGGAATAGAACTAGACATAATGATTGCCAGTCTAGTGCACACACAGGGGTTATTACAAAATGTTACGACTGCACTATGCTTGTTTATTAATATAAGTATTACACTTTTTATAAATCTTAATAATCATTTTGTTCACTCTTACAGATTCCAACGTTAACCAAAATTGACATTAGTAACAATAAGAATGTGACACCAGCTGCTGTCAAGTATGTTGTCAATCACTGTCGACATCTGCAGTTATTAAATCTCTGTCTGTGCCATAGTATTGATGATGACTGCATTAGACATATTGCCATCTACGCCAAAGAAATCAAGAAGCTCTTATTAGTGGGATGTCGGCTCACTGATGAAGGTAAATGTAAAATGTACTTTCATAACACACTTTGATGCATGGATTAGTAGCTCATTCATTAACTTCCTTTGCTTCTGCTTAATGCTACCTGGTAAACTGGTGAAAACTACTCATGTTCACCGCAGGAGCTGTTTGGACCAGTAAAATGTATTTTAGAGCCCCTCTTTGTCTTGACTGATGAACTGGGTTCTTTATCACTGGGCCTACGGTTTATATCTAATATTTAGGCAAGATTTTTTATACCTTGTTAAGCAAAAATGCCGACTGGCAATAATGGTTATTGTGAATAAAAATAAATCACCCTCCACCACGAAAAAATTTAAATTTAGTAAAAAAAATACAATTTTATATTTATTTTTGTTATGCCCTCTGCTCCCCTGAAATCTCCAGAAATAAGATACAGTATACATATTTCTTTCTTAATTATATAAATTTAAATCATTTATCAATTTCAATACTACACTGTTTAATTCATTAATAAAATGTTATTTTAGTTTTCTCCTCCGCCTAGATGGTTTTGGCAAAATGATAAAACAAAATTTTTACTTTCCCCCGCCCCCCTTTCCCGCACTGGCAATCTTTAAAAAAATAAGTTTGCGGAACAAGTCTTGCCTTATCCGGCACCACGATTATGGCTACCAGTTGCGGTGCCCATGTACTGCTGTCTAAATGATTATTATCGCATTATGATCATACAACATAATTAATTTGGAGACCAAATAATAAATCCATACATAATATTTAGGTTAATCTTTTTTCTCCAAGCTTTGTTAAGTCTTGGGAAGTATGCCGGCAACTTGGAGCACATAGATGTGGGATGGTGTGAGGAAATAACAGACCATGGTGTCATCGCAATCTCCAAGATGTGTCTGAACCTCAACTACCTTGGCTTAATGCGCTGTGACAAAGTGTCGGATCAAACCATGCTACAATTGGCACAAGAGAATACTCATATTCTGTACAGCACATTTCTACTGGACAGTCAGAGACTTATAGCTCAAGCATCTCAAAAAGGCTTTGTGTTCAAGTTTGTTGAAGAATACAATTCATTTTAGCTACTGGTTCCTAACCCTTTGAACTCCTGAAGCTAACTCTAACATAACCTGCAACTCTTGGATGAAAATCAGAGAAATTACTGTATCCATGATGCCCATGACATGCAGCAAAGGCACAAAAATATGTATTTTATATATGATCCTACAATTAAAATTACTGTGGGCAGCATATATATATTTTTATCTGATTGGTCAGTAAAATCTCTCTCTAAAGAATAAAACACATCATGAGCTTTTCATACTGATTTGCCCAATATATCAGGGTTACTGGGAGAAGGAATCTATGCTCTTGATATAGCTGGCTCCTGATATAGCTGGCTATTAAACTGGTCCAAAGGGTTTTCAGGGGGTGGGGTGAGGGATAAATAATGTTTAGTAAAAACTGCAAGACTTTAGGTGAATTGACAATTGGACCCAGCTTCAAAAAGGGTTGCAAACCAGGGTGCTATTATATAATTCAACAAAAGTAATTATGAGAATAATTTTATTTTATTTATTTTTTATTTTATTTGCTCATTTTTACATTACATTTTTTACAGCAACGAAAGTTGCCATTTACAGAATTAAAATAACTACTGAAATAAATGCATACAAGTTTTTTGGTTTTTTTTAAATATGGTATGTTCCACTACAGCAACCCTGGATAATGATTTTTTACGATAATGATGACGATGATGATGACAACCATGTTATTTTACTATATCTCATAAATACAATTATGTTTCATTGGTCAATTACATTCAGTACTCAAGTCATAGTTCTGACACAGATCTTGTTACTACACCTCATAAATATTAATTAGGTAATAACATTTTAATGGTCAATGTCACTCGGCACTCAGTACAGTATGTTGCCTACTTTCCCACTCGTGCTCATTTACGCACTGTCACAGGGAACAAAGTACTACTACCCAAAATCATCTATTGAATACCTGGCTACATGAGTCGTATGCCAATTTTGTATTACTCAAAAACAATTACTAGGCCTACTTAAAATCGATATGGACGTTTTATTAGGCAAGGAAAAGCAAGGCCTATTTTATTAATATTTATGAGGTAAAGCAAAAGAAAGACAACATGGTTTAATATTGGTTAAATGACTTGCATACAATCAACTGCAGTATTGTTACTAATATTATCAATATTAAGTCAGCATTTAGTCATTGCTTTTCTCATAGATTAAAGCTTCTTTATCTATGTTTAATTATTATTAATGTACTTTCATAACTAATAGCATTAGCAGCAGAGCTGAAGAAGTATTTTCGTAAATATTATCTTCATCATTACTTTGAGCTAATGAATTCTATGTGAAATTTGTCAAAGATTATACCTTTATGTTCCTGATCTCAAGGGCCAATTGACTTGTATATTCTAACCTATATGTTAATTGATAACTTTGTGAGAAACATTTAGATAAATATTAAAATATGAAAATTAGCACATCTCTCTTATATTACTTCAGTTTTTATATGATCATGTGCATTTTACAAGAGCCGATATTACATTTATTACAGAACATTTAAAGTATGTAAATATATTTGTAAAGCATGAGCGTGTGTGTGGGGAATAAAGAACCAGTAATTTATACAATGCCTGTAAAAATCTCTGTATTACCATATTCTGTGATTATACATAACTACATCATTCAAAGTTTTTGATTTTTAGTATTGACTGTACAAAAAAAAATATTTGAGAATATGAAAGTAAATATGATAAACATTATAATATGAATATATTGAAATGTGCCCTATTGTTTTAGAAAGTATTTCCAAGACAATTTTAGGTGGATTTGTAGGTGTTCATACCAGACTAAGTTATACTAATGAGTTGATGCTTTGTGCAATTGTATTCAAAAGTGTGGAAGAAACGCATGTATATTTTTTTATAGAAAAAATAAAATTGACATTAAATACAGAAGAAATTGGTCACCTTGTAAGGTGCAAAAATAAGTGTGTGAATCTTGGGGAATGGACCCCAAAATGGGGGGGGGTCTCTTTCTAACACTCATATTAAACATTCTTGGATTAAATACTTTTAAAAATTGTATAAATTATCTGTACAGAGGCTAAATGAAAGAATTATGGTTTTGTGTACAAGTTAAGCTTTTGCTGTACATTTTCGGTTGGCTTAACATTCAGAACAACTATGGGTACTGATTTTATGGACCAAAATATTTAGTGTAACAAACGTAAGATATTTACTGTGTGAAAGATATAGAAATGATTTTAATATACCATATAAAAATAGAATTGTCTTTGATGTTTGTGTTCATTGGATTATAATGTTTTTCCATCATCAAGTTAAAAAAATAATAAGAATCTAAACATTTCAGCAACAATTTTAAATAGAAGACTGAACAGGATTTTTAAATAAATAAAATGACCAGGTTTTGGTGCCACATGGCTAATTAGCCCTTTTAACCTAAAAAAAATTAAAAATTCCATAGATATTAAAGTAAAACAAAGTGATATCACAAAAAACGGGTTTTATTGTAACATTTCAACCAAAGAACATTTTCCTTCAATATTATGTAGACATGTAAGTAATGTAAACCTCTTTCTTCACAGTACTTAAAATTAACAGGATCGAGAACAAGTATTAAGAAGTATGTGGAACTGCACTATATGGTAGCAGTTCCACATCCCCAATATAACGGGAAAGTCTTCCTATAACTGAAGTCAGGTGACCATGGCACCCCAGAGATGGGCAGAGTGGGTGTAAACAGATTTATTACTGTAATACATGTTTAAAGTTATACTGTCATCATTAATGACATAATAAATAATATAGGAAAAAAGTAACTTAATTTAACTTTACAAAGGAATCTGAAAATAAAAATTGTGATTGTGTAACACTTTTTAAACCAGTATAACATTTGCATAAAACTAACAATTGTTACTGGCAAGCAAGGTGAAATTCAGTGAGGTACCAAGAACAGTTACACACACACACACACCTACAATTGCTGGCCAATTATTTATCACTCCAGGTTGCATCCACATTCTTACTTTAATAATCCCCAAAACATATTTCTTTGAAAACATCAGTAAAAAATAAAGCAAAGAGACACCCAATGTATACATTCACTGTCATTGGGTAATACACAGCAAACAAAGTTATTGGGTGCTCATTAAATAAATATATAGATATACTTATATATATATACGGTTCCATATGCATTTTGATATAAAAATAGAGAAAAATTATGACACATACAAATGCAAACACTGAAAAACAGATATTCATTCATGCTAAAAAAATTTCTGAGAATGAGCCTTTAAAGTTGACAAGAGCAAATATCAGTTTTCCTAATCACAGTGTTTGTGTTTGTACAGATAATTTTTTGTCTCTACATAAAATATATATATTGATTGTTGTACGACTGCAAACATAGAAAGTATGTGACCAACTCTGGCAAAACCAGGTGCTTGTAAAAACTAAATCGGCTAAAATTCACATGTATTGATCATCTCCATGCATGTTGGACTGAAAATATGAATTACATCTTCTCCATTTGTTATGTTTTTAACAATTTTTCCATCAACTATTTGCTTTTGACCTACATGCTACAAATAATCTCATTTTTCATTTTTTGAGACAAGAACCTGTCATGCTAGAGTGGGTAACATGTATATAAACAAAACAAAAATTATTTTAAAATAAAAATAAGTCTTTCATAGAAATGAGAAAGAACACAGAAGATGATACTCGCACAATTGTACAAGTAGAGGCAACCGACCAAAGTATACACATAAAGAGCAATTGATAAGGCTTTAAAGTATACATGATCATCTAAAAAAATCATTTGTGTAGCAATAGATAAAGCCAATGGAATTGATATTGAACAATTTTGTGCAATAAAATAAAGTACCACAATTATCTACGGAAAAGTGTTAAATACCAAGTGAATATTTAACCAAATTTACCAAGCCAATAGGATGTGATGTTTCATTGGGTTATTGGTGTTTTATGTTGATATACCAATTAATTCTCTTTAATTTCAAAAACATAAAATATATTGTCACTTATTTATGTTCTATATGCTATTCTATTTTTTTTTTCTACAGGTATTGTTTCTTTTTCTGTAATGAAACTTATGTTTATTTGTAGGGTGTAGGGTAAAACAAATTTTTAAGAGGGTGCAGTCAATCCAGCTAGATAACAAAAGATAACTTATTATTTATATTTTCTTTTTTTTTTTTCTTTTTTTTACCATTTCACTTGGTACAGTATAAAAATGACTTACGGTTTTTATATAATTTACTTATTTTTTTTGTAATAATAAGTCTACCAACATTATTTTTTTTTTCCAAGTTGGTTGCTATTATATTTCAATTCTTAGAATGGCTAATTGTTACTATTATTATCAATGGTGGGACATGGTAGAGTAAATGCATTGCCCTATTCATCATGAATGCTGTTTGTTAAGAGCATGGCATTTAGCCATTCGCACACACTACATCACAGAACCATGCTCTCTGTGTTTGACGATGAGATGCCATCTGTAAAGCTACACGTATAGCATCAAACACAGATAATACAATTGTCTATAAGAGGTCAACAGTTAATACTTCTGAAATAATCAGCACACAATGTTGTATACTGTGGAACACATCCTTTAAAACACCACTATTATGAGGTCACTCCTATTAAGGAGACAATTTTTTGGCCATGAATAGAGGTAAAATACTTTTTTAGCAATACGGCCATACGGCAATCCTAAATATAATTATATAAAGAAAAAAATTTTAAAAATATAAATTGAGAGGAGAGGGAGGGTATCGGTGTAATAACTATCAACATCACACGTGATATGGCTCTCTCTCATTGAAGAGTGTGCAGTACATTAAGATTGCAGGCAGATTATCATTTTACAAACAATACTTTTTGTTTATTAATGACGGTCCACTGCCCATGTAAAAACAAAGCCATATTGTGATATACATATCCAATATATTTACCATACCATTCTCCATTTTTTTCTTTTTGATATGGGAAAAGGGATTGATACAAATGTGTTGACGGTAAATAAATGATATTATTTTCCTTCTCTTTCTTATCTACAACAAACCAAAAAAATAGGTTTACTAGCCACATCCATTTACTGTTTCAAGTTCCTTCTGTAGCTGGAGGTTGGAGTTGAAAGCGACACACTGGACAGGTGCCAGACTATATAACAAAACACAAATAATTAGAATTTATTCAGATGTTATTAGCAATGATTGAGAGGTGGAACATTCCCCTGACTACAAGAGAAGGGAACACAAAAATTCACATATGGAAATTATATTACCACCTAAGGTCAAGTAAAAACCCTCAAATATTAAAATAAAATTTGTTATTGTTTACATAATTTTGGCTCTCCACGTCATCTCAAATTATTCATGTTTATTACAACAATTTCTGTTAACAATACATACATGGAAATGGTTAGCATAAAGGTCATGTGATGTGTCACATGGTACAGGTGTAAGGGTACAGTACATTACCTTGTGTAACCAGGCAGCTATACATATAGGATGAAACATGTGTTTACATGGTAACTCTGTTAACTTCTCATCTAAAACATAGTCGCTTCTACAGATTGCACATGATGTATTGTCCCCTGTCACCAAAAGATAATTTTAAAATTACTATACAAAATAGATAATCAATTCAATTTAATTCAAGATTTTGTGAATGACAATTGGGAGAGAATGATGGCTAGGATTAAACTCATAGTGAATGGTATATGGTATATGGTATTGGATGCTCAGAATCACTGTCGCTAGTGTCCTCCATAGATGGAAGCTCTGTTTCAGGTCTGTCTCTTATACACATCTATATATAAATCACATGAAAGTAACTACAGTATAAAGATATACCTCCACTGGTGTTGATTAAAGATGATAATAAATATTTGAGAAAAACGTACGTCCCCATCGGGATTCCAACCCAAGACCTTCTGATTACCGTTCGGATACTCTACCACCTGAGTCATGAGGCCAAGTGGACACCCTTGTTTTCCCATTAGGACACGTTTTTTTCTTAAGGTATTGCGTAATACGCAACAAATAATAGTAAATCACATGAAATTATATGAGTGATGTATGTTCACATTACAAAACCAATAAAAACTTATTTAACATGAAGAATAAAAAAAACAAAAAACAAGAGATACCCAGCGATCTACTGGAAAGTTATAATAATGATGATAAAAAAAAAAAGGTTTCAATTTCAACCAACCTAATATATTTTTAGTGGCAACTACACATGGTAGCTTTGCAATAGTCTCTTCTGTAGCTGGTGGTGGTGCACCATCATTTTGAAGTTCTGGATGGGAGGCTATTATCATTACCACATTCTGCAAACAAACATATTAAAATAGACTCTTGTAAAAAATAATGTAATAGCAACGGAGTGTATCACGTGGTATTGTGACGTAACACTGTAGTACTCTATACCAGCAGATAATCATACGATTCAAAAATTGGCAAGCATGCACATTGATCAACTACCTCCACTCCCCGGGCACGTATAGTACCAATATTCTTTACCAAGAATAAGTTAGACCCTTTGGTGGAGGATGATGCAAGATTTCATTGTCCTTTCATTTGAAACAATGTACACAATGACATTTATAAATAACACTCAACTGGCCTACCTCATAGAGTGTATGGAGCATGTCCTGGGCAAACTGCAATTGTCGATGCAAGATGAATTCTCCCACAGAAAGTTGAGGGATGCGTAGCGCCAGGGATAGCAAAGGATCAAGTTGATCATAATCTTCAGCAACCCTTTAAAACAATAAATACATTATACTGAATAAGTTTTTGTTAATGTTAACAGAATAATTTCTATCTTTTATGAAGAAAGATAAATGATATAAAAAGCAGAGACTGAATTCATGTCTACTGATTTATCAATTTATTTTCTTTGAAAAACCTATACTTGATTGCAAAGCACTAAAAGGGTCTACTGTACAGATGTAAAACATGCACTGTCAATTCAATACATTTGTTATTGGCAAGGAAACAGTGATCTTGTTCTTATTTTACCTGTATATCAAATCATCTTCACTTATGTCTGTATCTTCAGCACTGTGTTCTGAATTATAGCCTGATGCCATCAGTGGATCACTATCAAAAACACCATCTGGTTGGCTAGAATTATCACCAGATGCAATGTCTCTGTGACTACTGCCAATAGGATGATTTCTTCCACCGACAAAGAGATCCTCACTTTCACTATCACTAGAGGAGTTGGAGGAAGAGTCACCATCATGTTCAGCACTGTTATTCTCATTTGAAGTTCTGACATCCTCATCCTCATCAAAGTAATCCTCTTCATTCAGGTCGTCATCTGAGTCCCAGTCAGAAGAAGACGGAGAAAATATTCCAGCTAACAATGTCGATAAGAAGTGTTGATGAAACTCTATAAATGGTCTGGCAACATCAGAAAAAGGTTCAGCTAAAGGATCCAATACATCCCAGTCTTCACCACTGTCATTCTCCATCGGAAATCTCACAGATCTTAATGTTGTTGGTTGTATGTTAATTCGTGCTGGATGCTCAGAATCACTGTCGCTAGTGTCCTCCATAGATGGAAGCTCTGTTTCAGGTACCACCCTATGATTGGAACACTTTTTTCTTGGTTTGGATTGGCTGGTTGTTTTACTCTCATGTTTGGGGGCATTTTTCTGCTTAGTATTTTCATATCGTGGACTTAATTGTAATTCATCTGATGGGCTTTGAGAATCAGATGTTGAATGGTGTTCACGTTTTCCACTCTTTTTAGATGTTCCTAGAATCTTTGATCTCTGGGAATGTTCACATTTTTTTTCCATTTTAATTTTCTCATTAGTCTTACTATGCTCTCTCTTCTTTGATGAATGTCTACCTTGTAGACGTGCTTGTGAGTTTGAGTACTTTGAAAAAGTAGAAGATTGTTTCAAGTTTTTATCAAAAGATTTTTTCTTCTTGCTGTGAGATTTCCATGGAGCTTTACTTGAGTATTTCTTTTGCAACTTAGGCGATGCATTGGACTTTTTTGTACCTGGCTTCTGTAACTGGTCACCTTTAACAAGCCGCTCTTGTGGAATACTCTCTTTTGGTAAAGCAGTGGCAGATTTACATTTTGGTCTGCCACCCTCTTTTTCCCAATCTCGACGGCTTTCAGGATTGGAGCTACCCAAACACTCTGACAGCAATGGAGTCCTGCAGTTGCTGTTGCTTCTTCGTTTATTCTTTTCATTTCTTTCCGATCCAGAACCTCTCGCCCTTGCAGGTGATTTATTACGAAGTCTAAAACATCCATTGTCATTTTTTGAATTATGCCAAATTTTTGCTGTGTCAGTCAGTGAGCTCTTTTTCTTCTTGGATTTGACATCACATTGTTTTTGTCCTTTACTTTTGGAGACTACTTTAGGGGTTTTGGTCAATTGTGAATCGGCAACTGGTTCCTTCACCGATGCCATACCAACATCCTCAACACAATTCCGCCTACAGTTTTAATCACCTATAGAAATCTGACAAAGAAAAAGTAACACAAGATTTAAGCTCAATTATTCATACATTTAAACAAATGTTTTACTGTACTGTAACCAAAAACTATGACTAGGATGGTATACGAGGTAACAATGGGTTGCCTGAAAAACTGAAAGTAGAGTTGGAATATGGAATATCTGCTTTTTTACAATGTATTTTCTGTGTAATCTACACTAAAAATGTATTATTAGTTCCTGCACAATTTTCAGTAATTTTAAAATATATTCTGGTCACATCACCCCTTAACAAACTTGGCCTACAAATTGATCTGTTAATATAAAGAGATGGGCAGCGGTGCCGCCAGAAATTTGCCGACATGTAAGACGGAGGGGTCCTAGCCAAGGGCCGATGAAGTATGGCTTAGTAAGGTCCAAAATGTGCTTTTAAAATCAGATGTATATATTTTCTGATTGTACATTATTTCAGCTTCAAAATGGTGTTTAAATTATTCAAATACGTTTAGAAATAAGGGAGATATGATTAAATGAAGTCGCTTAATACTACAAGTCTAGGAAAAATACAACAATGAAAAAAAGGCTTTGAAATTTATCAAAGCGTATGATTATCAAGTAAAGGTCGATCAAAAATCACGAAATTTTCTTGCTTTCTGATTTTTTCGCAATGAAAATTTGGTATGTTGTAAATCAATACTTTTAGAAACTGTTTTGATTGAAAACAGAATTTCAACCATATATGAGGTTTCTATTTATTTTGCCTCATAACTCATTATACGCCATGCGACTTTACTCTCATTTCGTGGGGCAGGTCTCATATTGTATAAAAAACTGGTTTAATTTTTTTGTTTTGTTAAAGAAAATGTATTACCAGTAACAAAATTGCATTGTTTTTTTTATGCTGTTGAAATGAATAATGCGGCAAAAAAAAAGTTGTTGTAGTCCCACATCAATATTTTTAAATTAAACTTTTTGACATGGGCGGGAGTGATAATCTAAAGTTTTTTTCAGTGTGCCCTTATTTGGATAGGCAGATTATTTTTTTTAATTTTTGCTCTGACGAGGACAGGCCTGGGACGACAGGCTTGAGGGGTCAAGGCCTGTCCGACGTGGGGGGGGGGAGGGGAAGTGCCCACTGACCCCACCATCACCACTCACTGAAGATGGGTCAAGTCAGTGTACTATTGTATAGTCCGAGTTGGCGAAGGGCCGAGTTAACTGAAAAGCCTGTCAAGAAGGTAGCAGAGCACACAATCACAGAGTATTATTTGTATTGCAGTGGTAATAGTAGCTAGAGCATCAATATTTAGGGCACACCACTGCCTACCCTAGAACAAGCTAGCTAGGCCTACAAGTAGGTCTAGGCTACCATATAGGAGCGGCGGAGCGGCCTGCCTTCTATTTTAGGGTCAGCCCAGCCCAGCTTAGTTAGGTAAGGTAGGCCTAGGCTAGCCCTAGCCTACTAATAATACAAACAAGGCCCTAGGCTAGCCAGGCCCAAGTGGAGCTGCGTTGGTACTTCAGTGTTCGCCATCGCATTAAAATGAATCTTACTATGATGAATACATATAAAGTTGTGAAAATCTTACATCCTAACTGGTGCCATTTTCTAAATAACTTTCTGAAATATATATGTAGTCCATAAAAAAAACAAGCCACACATCAGGAGCTGCCCTCTTTTCTTCACAAAAAAAACACAAGAAATGGACAGCGCCATCTACTGTCGTGACAACGAAAAACATTAGAAGATCCTAACCTCCTCTGTGCAGCAACTTCGAGACCACCCCAAATTTTCAGGTTCCAAATTGGTCTCGATTTTGAGGGCGAACTGGAAATATAATATTCGAAATTGCGCGATTTATATTTTGAAGAAAGTAATAACGGGAAAACTATTAAAAATACAAACAACATCCGTTCAAAATAGGATCTGAATTTTATATAGGGCCTGATCTATGTTAGATTAAGTAGTCGCCCTCCAATTCGAGGCCACCTTTGGGACCGAAAATTTGGGGTGGTATCTGGGTTGGTCTCCAATTAGAGGGCTAGCTTTGTATTAAAATGTTGAAGATTGTTTTGGGTCTTCGGAAAAGTGGTCTCGTATTAAAGAGGCCTCGGAATTAGAGAGGTCTCGAATTGGAGGGTGTACTGTTAGGCCTACTATTGTAATTCCATGCGAAAAATAGAATGTTTAATAAACACATCTAGAAGACGAACACCATTACCAAGAAAAAAGAAATTTAAATATATTTTACAGAGAATATCGAAATTCATTGAAAAAAAAACTTTCAAAAAGAATCTGGATTTTATATAGGGCCTCATCAAATGTTAGATTGAGTTATATTTATTGTAATTCCAAGCCTAAACAAATCGCACTTTATTGATTTAATAAACACAAAACTCTAGAAAACGAACACCATTACCAATAAACAAAAAATAAATAAATAATTATATAATTATTAATAAAGAGCAATACATCGAAATTCATTTAAAAAAACACTGTCTTACGTGTTTATGTAATGTCTTGATAAAAGTGGTTCATAGAACCACGTCTCTTCTATATAATGCATTATGCAATTCGTTATTATTCTGATGTTATGAAAGTTATAGTACCAAGTTAAGCATCAACTTTGAATTTACACCATCACCACCGGAGAGATGAATATTTCTCAGAGGTCATTGGTCACCATAGCCACTTTCTAGTTAAAAAAATTATTTAAGCAATAATGTAGGCCTATAATACTGTACATAAACAGTTCATAAAATGTTTTAATTCATATAACATATATATATATATATATATA